TCTGCCCTAGGAGAAACAAATGTTTCTTAACAGTTGTCTACGTAAAATACTTGGGATCCGTTGGCCACACACTATCAGCAACAACCTATTGTGGGAGAGAACAAACCAGATTTCAGTGTAGGGAGAAATCAGGAAGAGGCACTGGAACTCGATAGGACACATATTGGGGAAAGCAATCAACTGAGTCACAAGACAATCCCTCACATGGAATTCTCTAGGCCAAAGGAAAAGAGGAAGACCAAAGAACAAATTACGCTGAGAAATGAAGAATGAACAAGAATTGGATAGAACTAGAAGGAAAGACCCAGGACAGAGTGGGTTGGAGAATTCTGGTCGGCGGCCTATGCTCCATTAGGAGTAACAGGTGTAATTAAGTAAGTAATTATGATGGCATTGCTAGAATTTATATGAATATTGACAAAGCAATAACTTAATAGTTAAAGATACTTGGTTTTCAACCAGTATGTTTTGATTTTTCAATCTTATTCTGGAATATACTTCAATATACTTATTTTCATAAAGAGTATCATTCAAGGGCAAGTACATAAGTCTGTCATCGATAAATGAGATGGATAGATAGTAGTTGATATGTTTACTTCAGTTCTTTAAGGATAGTAAATGAATAGTTCTTATCCATATTAGCCATACTTTACCGGAATTTTCCCAATTAAACAGTCGTTCAATTGAATGAATTAACACTGTACATGATCATATACTCGGTCTAATTACATCAGGTTATTTATTTAAGCTAACTTAAATCCACTAATCATTATAAGAAACTATCATACAATCATATGAATCATGTTAATTTTTGCTAAACTAGTGAGAGATAATGATCTGTAAAGTTAAATTGTTTCGGAAGTACAACAGATATATAACCAACGACATTGGATAAGTCATCTTAAACCATAAATTGTCTCAGATTGATATATGGATCATTAAGTAATAACCGTCTATGGTTTAAAGGTAACTCATTCACTTCAAAATATAAAAGTCTTCAGGGAGACCTTGGGGTAGTTATAGGTGCTTAATACCAGAACAAAATAACTAACCAACACTTCCTAGTTTTTGACAGCCCATAAATTGATGCTAATCTATGATGAAAACTATCTCAATAAAATCAATTTCTGATGTCACATAGAGACTTCTTCGTATGAAGATAGTCTACATTTATCAAATAAGTAATAAAAAAACTCGATATGATAGTTAGGTTTTTAGCTTCATTAACTAGTGAGTAATATACAGAATAAGCTTCATTATATTATTCATATCCTGAATAGATTTCATATCATAACATTTTATAAAAATTCAAGAGCCCTGGTACGGCAGAGAGTGGGGAAAGTCAGCTGTCTTTCTCCAAATGCTTTCATATGGCCTAGCGCATACAACCACTTCCAGCGAAGTCTCACTCACTAACTTCTCAAGGCATTATTGTTGTTTGCAAAATCCAGAGGACGAAAAGCAAATGTCCAGCGCTTTAACCGGGTTGGTGGATACGGAGGATCCACCTATGGAAGTTGGAAAACCCTCATTCCAAACTAATGGTGATGGTGGGCTCCAGTATCCTGAAGGAACAAATGGTGTATGAACCAATCGTTGGTCGCCGGCTACCATGAGACTGCATCTCCTTACGATGCTCCACTGCCTTGTGGGTCAAACGTTCAGGTCGAAGGCTCGGGGTGTGGCTCCCTAAGAAAACCACTTGCTTCGATCTGGGCACACAGGCAGTATCACAGCCCTCACACAAATCAAATGAGATTTGTGTAGCGCATATGTATTTGGCGCCTCCTTGTACCAATATCTATGTGTTAAAATAAATAAATAACTGAAGTAAAATTGAAGTTTAGCAAGCCCAGTTTCTTGACTTAGAAGTAGCACATGCCTCTCATGTGTTAAGATATTTTTTACGATGATCTACTGATCTCTTCTTTGTTGTTTAAAACTAATAAGAATCTATAAAATAAAACTGTTGTTGTTATTCTGCTCAAATCTATAAGGAATAAAATTGGAACTTTAATTATTCATGTTTATCAATCATTTAAATGGTACAACAGAAACGTCACACAATAAATAAGAGAACCAAGTTTTTGAATCTGTTATACATAGAATAAATAACCACAATGCAGAACGCGAATATACTCTTATCACCAAACTTATATTCTATCCTAATTCATGTGTTTCAAAAAAGCTTAACTGTTTACATACTTCATTGTTCACATCAAAAGTTTCTATAGATAAGTAGTTTTTTAACTAACCAACTGTTTTATCGAAAAGATCTTGAATGGGATTCATCTATTTCAGGTGGAAAGTACTGGTTTTATACACAAATCCCATGAACAGAATTATTTATTTTTGATTAAGTTATTTACATTTGATTGATCACTGAGTGATGGCTAGTGTCATATATGTCTGGTTAGTTTATGTTTATTACTCAAGTTGCAATGTACCCACTGGTCTAAATGACTAAAGATTGTGTGCATTATGTTATGAAGTTAGAGGGTTCAACATGGAGCGGGTTTGAGTCAAAAAGGGAGTATGAGTACTCCTAATATAGTAGGTATACATTGTTAATATATGATAACTATCATGAAGCCTAAATTAAAGCTTTTCTATCGACTAACTCTGACCATCTATCACGTAAAAACAATCATTAGCAATACAAATAAAAAACATTTTCTCTGCATTATCCTTTGTTTTAAACTCTTAGTAGATGTCAAATATAGTTCACTAATTAAACAAATACCTCTCGTTTAATTGTCATGGGATCTTTTGCTTTCGCAATATAGCCATACAGAAACAAAACTTACTTCCTAATACATATCATCATTGTAAATCTTTCTTTTTGAACCTTCTTCATAGAAATCAAACGTGAAATTTGGTACTTCTAACATGAAAAAGACTCTTTAGTAATCTTAGCATACGAATATTCACATACTTTTATATTTAAAATCTTCAATTCTTCGGAGTTTGCGGGCAGTTAAGTTAATAATTCCTTTAAAAATTTACGTTATTGATATTTTGATGGACTATTTTACCATGTTGGAGAGATAAATTACTAATTTACCTTCAATATTCAAGCTCTTGTCAATATTTTTATCAGCACTGATAATACATTCTTAGTATTGTTGAGCGATAAACGAGTAATGATATCGTGTCTTCTGATAAAACAACAGTGTATTATTTCAACGTGTTGAAATTTTTAAGAGTAGAACACAATTAACCGGCCATTCTTCATCAACCCTTTCGTTAAGTTTGATTTAGGTATTTTGATATCAAGTCGCTAAACAGATTACCATCAACTGACACAAGTAGAATTCTTTCCACTTACGTTTATTCCAGAGAATGATACTTAGGAATAACGACATTAGTGTTACATGAAATCTTATTCAGAAACAAAGCTCTGAGTAGAGCCTAAGAACAAAAACTATCATTCGTGTACAACACCATTTAAACTGTCAATTTAAAGGAATATCTTGCAAACTGATGTAAATAGAATTTTATGTTTGCCCGATTGCATTATAAATATTCCTTATTAGACAAAAAAAGTGGTTCTACTGCAGTAAGGAAAGATGGATTAGTTTGTCAAAATATTTTAAACAATTTTCTTTCATAGATCTACAAGAAGAGCAGTACGCAAATATCATTTTAGCACTAAACATTTATATTCAGTGGGAGGAATAAACAGGAAACTTAACGTTAGTCATAGTGGACCTTATTTAAAAACTAACTCAAATGAGTTAATAAGTCATTTCTATCACTCACAAACAATTCGACTATACCTAACTGAATTTCAGCGTGAATTCATAGGCTTAATTAAAAGAGAGTAGTTCGTCCCAAAAATAAGCAGAAGTATTTAAAAACCAGATTAATTTAAGCATAAATTATTAGGTGATTTATTAAGTTACAAGTCATGACCCCTAATAGGTACACTAAGGCTTGATAAGTAAACGTCTATAAAACGTAACGTTCTAATTGACGAAGTGGTAGAGTTAGTTAGTTATTATAGACATTGACAAATTTGATTTTCTTTGAATTCGTAAAAAGAATTTTCGGGTTTTTTTTAAAAAATATAACATTTAAACTAATTAGTACAGGCAGATTTTACTGGAACATGATCAGTGAAATCTGATGGTATGAATAAATATACTTTATTTTAGATCAACATATTGTTTATATGGTGTGTAATGTACTTTTTATACTTCAAGCTATTAATAAATTATGAATAACTACATGACAATTTCGCAGTCTTACAAAATTCAGCTGTGTAATTACTTCACTTGAAATGATTACTTAAGGCAGATCTAGTAATCGAGTCATATATAAAACACAGTGGAGCTCAACTTTCTAATAATCCGAACGTTCAACTACTTACTAGTTACCTTAGAAAATAAATATTGTATTCCATACGATATATATAGATTTCCTTTAAGCATCAATTACACAAATCAGATCTAAAACTAAAGAGTACAATTCTTCAAAAAGGCTGAATCAAAAACATTCGAAAACGGTAGTCTCAACTAATTCACAAAAATACTTAAATACAAGAAATAATTTTAAAAATAACATAGTCGGTAATTGTAGTGTCTCTTGTGAATGAGTCTAAATAGCTAAAAATATTATATCATTGGGGGTCACAAATGTTTAACGTAGAATAATATGGTATCCCAGTGCATTACACTAAATAACCGTCCTTGAAACATAAAGCACTGATAAATATCTTCAAGTTAATGTCGAGGACTTTGCTTGAGTGATGTTTTCCAATACATGTCACGTAGCAACAATTTTACAGAATGGATCTGTTACTCCTGTGACTTTCAAACAAACAACTTATCAAGCCTATTACTGATCTAGACCTCCAAAATGCCAAGCCACCATTAAAAGCCAGATAAGACACTAAATACAATCGTTCTTGACTTTTAAGTTTATGGTGGTAGTAGAATGTACATTACGTAATTATAGGAATTTAAATGACTGGAAAAAACAAGTTCATATCAACATACCAATATAAGCCAACGGGTGGGTTCGGTTTTTGACCATTAGTTTTAGGTTTTTCCTCCCCAAACAGTATTTCTTTGGTTTCACATCCAAAAGTATTATTCGATGTCTTATTAAACTGACTGTTTTGGTGATTTACCCTTAAACTCACATTATTTTGACTATGTACCAGACGAGAGTATATTTTTTGCATTACTGAGCTATCTAGAGATTTTCCTTTTAGAGTACTTTCTAAGGCATCTAGAATATCTGCAGTTACTGATATAAGTGTTTGATAATCCATCTGCAGCCTGGTTAAACGTTTCTGAGACTGTGTTGCTCGCTTTTCAGCATCTGACAACTCATTCTGGACAATAAAAATAAATTTATTTGAACATACTGTAAGCTGTCGCATCAGACGATCTTGCTTAACATTAGGTTTGGTGACCAAACTAAGTAAATGGGGAATTTTATCACCATTTGGTTGAATCACTGAATCAATGTACTTTGACAAGCGTAAGACAACAGAGTTCCGCCATGTTTCCTCAAAAAGTTGACGATATATCGGGTGTTCATTAGGTTTAGTCACGTAAGGCAATGCATAATAAGCCAGAAACTCCGTGTTCTGACTATGAACTGAGCCTCTAGTTTCCAAATACAGCTTGAATTCTTGCATTGACGCATGTCTTTCGTCCTGGAAAGTTATTAAATCTGACGAAAAATTACGTTGTTATACTCCTGCCAAAATGCAGTCAGAAAAAACAGGTTGAGATCAAATTCTAGCTGCATAAATTCCTGCTTCTGTCGCTCAGCTTCAGGCACCAAAGTAAACAAGGCATTATAAAATTCTTCCTTCTTATTAGTTCTGAAAAGATTAACTACTTCTTGCTTCAAAAATTTAGCCAATCTGACTTTTAATTTACCTTTTTTTTAAAATCGGAAGCAGGCCTCCATTGCTCCAGGTTCACACCATGAAATATGCGTGATTCTTCTGTAAATGCACTGCAACTCTTGTGAAGTTGGTAGTACTCCAAAAACTAGCTAAAAATATAAATGTGAATTCACAGAACCTCCTTCACAAGTTCGATTATATTTGGTTGGTTATCGAACATCACTTTTGTTCAGCGCGTCAACACAGGTCACCATAGAATTAGAGTATGTAGGTCAAGGCTAAACATCAATATCAATGTTATTACAAACAATTGTCAAATTCGGGCCAAATTTATATCATACACATGATTCACATTTTTACGTAAAGTTGGTGTACCGTTTAATGGATAGAAAGGCATATTCAAGTGTCTTTTTAAAAAGTTTCAATTCCATAACTTATGATTCATGTTATACGCAATAATTTTCATTCGTCTAATACTCTGCTACGCTACACTTGAACGAAATGAACGGACAATCACAGCATTTGAAACTTTTTGAGCCTTATTTATTTGGCTCTATTATTCATTAAATAATAGAGAGTATTAGATTCGTAGATGTTATCATGTTGAGGGACTACATAATCACTTAAAAAGTTCACTTAACAGTAATAAGATTGATCATGTTTGCTGGTAACTGTGACGTTTGTTCTGATCCACATTATTACTTCCAAACATATCAATGCACACCGATCTTATTATGCTTATTCATGAACTTTGTGTCTTATTCTCTCTACTAATATGATTTCACTTACGTCTCAAACACTTATCTGAACTTCACAAACTAAAATATGACGAAACGTTTGTCAAAAATCATATTAAGAATTATCATTCTTAGTTGTAAGTAGCTGATAATAAACCGCAAGTTAAAATGATTCCATTTCATCCCACAAACCTTGTGGTTTCTGTACCGTTTAAAATGTATTGGAGCCAAACAAAATAACTATATTACGATAAATTTCCAAACTTAATGATCACTGATGATCAAATGCATTATTGTAAGAACCTTTCTGAAAGTTTTGTATATGAAAATCTCTCCACATAAACATCGTAGTGATTTATTTCTCTTGATTCATTGAGATGCACATATCAATATTTCGATTCCGTTCGAGATGGGACTACATGTATTTGATTGTAATTTGTGTTTTCCTTACGTCTTCTTTGAATCCTCATGTTCTTCGTCCGAACCATATTTATATTGTTATAGTCAATATTTAGTTATGGTGGCCGCCATATTCATCCGCTCCCATTTTTGGTTGTTTTGCTTGCATTGACTGGAATTGTGCATTCCCGATTGTGAATTGAAACACTCTTCTTGAATTGGAAACACTTTGTGATGTAACGAAATCAAATACTACCTCTCGAATTTAAATAAGCCAGAACAAATATTGATGCAGAATAATATGAGTTCATTGTATTTCGTGGGTTCTCGTCAGCTGCTTACTACGAAATACGTATTAGAATTTTACATTAAGACAAGAAATAGTATGCAACACTTGACATAAGTGAGTGTAAAGGATTGGAATGATAATGGTTATCAAAGATTACTATATATAACTATATATATATATTATATATATATATATATATATATATATATATATATGCAAGGACAGGTCAGAGGTTATTCGGTGTTAGAATTAACGATCGGTGGTTTAACACTTGGGTGGAGTCAGAGACAGATAAAAAAAGTGTAATAATTTTAGAGGTAATAAAGGAGTCATAGAATTAAAAGGTGATAAGATGGGTTACGTAATAATTGAACAGAAATTGAAAAGTTCACATAATTTAAGGTAGTGAAGTGAGCGAAAATGCGTGAGTGAAAGGGTGGCTTAAGAATTAGGTAATGGAAAAAATAAAACTAACATCAAAAGCAGAAACAAAAAAACAAAAAAATTGGATTACCATGGTAGTAACAGGCTTATTACTGTCTCTTTTTGAATACATTGATCCGGTTTGAGTTTTTTTATCGCGATCGCCTCAGCAAAACGGAGAGAAGCCGTGCTTCCTTGTCTGTCAATAATTTTAAAAGCATGGGGGATGTCGACGGTATGCTCGGTGTCAAGTAAATGCCGAGCTTTTGCACTATTGAGAGCCCTAGTCCCTCGCACCTTCAATTTCTTTGGATCATGCACAGAAATGCGAATATGTACCCTTCTCCTGGTTCTTCCAATGCATGTGCTTTGACACGTACATGTAAATTGGTAAATGCAGTTGAAGCTACTGTGAAAAGACGTCTTGTCCATTTTGTTTTGTTTGAATGAGCAGTTCGTTCCCCATACCGTCGTCAGATTTGTTGCTGGATAAGTTAAGTTCAACGCGGAGTTTGTTCTGTCATTAATTATTCCAGTAAATTCGTCTCCTTTGAAGCGTAAGTGTAAGAAGAAAGTTTTCTTTTCTACTCTCATATTTCACCTGGGGGTTGGTTTTGAATATTTATGGATGGATTCCGCCAAATTTTTAAGTAGGTAACTAGTGGTGGGAGCAATTTTTTCTTCCAGGCATTCTTTTGAGCAAATTTTACGTGCGCGGTCAGAAATAGTTCGTGCAATATCTTTCGAAACAATTCGTGCGTCATCTATCCGGAAAGGATAGAATAACGCTTGTTTGTTACACTTCAGTTGAATGTTGATTGAACAATTATTGGTTGAACAACTGGGCGGTAATATTTGTTTGGGTAATAATGCACATTAAAATGTCCAGCGACATTTAGGACTTCATTTATCTAATTACTGTTCTTCTTTTAACTGGGCGGTAGCGCGTATCTAAACTAACTTAAACAGTTATTTATCATTCCTCACTAAGTTTTGAAGGTATCTCATTCACTAGGTGTAAATAAATTTTCCCATTCTATATTAAATGTTTAGACTGTAGTTAAAAGAGCTACCATGTAATTACTGCGAGTAAGATTCCAATATCTCTATCAGTATAATGAACATGATAAAAACCCAACACATTACACGTTTACCAACTTATTGACCGGTATTCTCGTTTAAGGTATGTTATTATATACCACATGGCATATTAAGGTTCGGTTGTTACGAACCACGAGAATGCAACCATATAATTGTCAAATGATCCAATAATCCAGTGCAATTAGTAAATTTATGTACAGCCTTTGCATTACTCCTGGAATGAATTTAATTTCATTGCAAATGAATGTCATCTTGAGGTCATTCATTTTTGGCATAAAATATGTTGAATGTCTTTTGCACAAAAGAAATGGGTTGAGATTTGAAGGTTAATGATCTCAGAATTTATGGACTTATAAATTGATGACTGAAATCGGCCGACAATCTGAACAGGAATCCCGATTCTTTCGTCATTTAGAATTGTGGTGGCTTAATTTTCTACTGCATTTTGCGTAAAGCTCAGTGTTCGCTCAACAATGCTTTCTAAACATTATTCGCCGAAAAGACTAGAGTCGACTAGTCGGTGAACATAACTGAAGTAGTCTTTCTCCCAAGGATATTGTTACCATTAGATCCAGTATACGAAAAACCCACTATCAGATGAATAAGATATCAATAATTTTGATGTTTATTGTAAAATATTAAAGACTTGGGCGAACAATTATCCGTTTTGGATGTGTGCATACATTGTTCTGGCAAGGAAGTCAAAGCTGGAGTTAGTTAAACGCTCGGTGGGTGTTTGAACTTTCTAACATTTGAGCTTTGAGTCGTATGGATTTACAGTGGTGTCGATTCCTAGTAACACGAGCTTCGAAGCTGAAGTGATATATACACTCAACACTCAACTCTTTGAGTGCAGGCGCAATCCCTCTATGCAATTTATTCCTTTTCATATTAAATATATTGTTCTCACGCCAGCTCAACTGTGTCCTTTACAGGTCCAAAAATACTAGTTGCCAAATGTAGGACTACTCCTAATAATCAGTGATGTGACTTCCATGTAATTTCTGACAAGTCTAAGATTTGGGATTCGGTCTACTATTTTAGTAGCACAGACAAACGTTCTTATACCGACCAAGGCCATAGTCATGCATACCCTTCATGGTTGGATGATTTTCAGTCGCATGGCTAATTATTATGACAAACTGTAAGCTAACCTCGCGCTGAACTTTTTATAGTTATTTGTTATTTCATTGATCGCATTGTGTGTATTCGCGTGTAAATCACATGTCTCGGGAGCATTGGATCCCTATGTACTTGTGGAACTAGCCATTCCCAAAACACCTTAGATGTGCGCAAAACGAACGCTCGTTGTCTCAGAAACAAAAAGTTCGAGCGAATTTCGATGGTGGATGAATTAACTCGCGATATATTTCTTGTCACAGAAATGTGGTTTATCGTAGATATAAACTGTTCACTCGTCGTTGTAAGTTACATTTGTATTAGAAATGATAGTTATAAACCGCGAGACAGGAAACATTATAACAATAAGAAGTGATCATTTCGATATACAATCTGACCTTAACGAATAAGTTAGATGGTCCCAATGTTGAAGCTGAGAAATTGATTATAGAAAGAGTGCGTTCATGCTCATAGGACACAGTAACAGTCACCAGTACACTATCGACGGTACATCCCTTCCATGAGTGCAGAAACACGAAAATGTGCAGGTAATAGTAAGTCATAACTTGGAAGCAGCTATTCATTGCAACGCAGAAGCTGCCAATGGGTTTCGTGAGCCATGGTTACTTAGTTCAGAATCCAAACTCTTTGAAAAGGAAATGTTCCGAGTTTTATAGACCACCGACGTAAGACCACATATACAGTGCTGCATCCAGGCAGCTGGTCCTTGTCTTATTAGGGATACTTATTCACTTGGGTGTGTTCCGATTGTGAAAACAAAAGTAGTGGAAGATCTTTCAAAATTGCGTTACGATGACTACCTAAAACTCAAAACCTTTTCCACTTATTGTATTGTAGAAAGCAAGGCGACCTTATTTCGGCATTCCGCATTTTTAGTTACGATTTGGTTGTTAATATGTCGTATCTTTTTGTTTCCTTCATCACTAATAATCTTCGAGGCCTTATCAAGAAGGTTCAAAAACCGCTATCTAATAAACTTGGAGTGGGGTTCCGTTATTCTCCTTGAGTGGTCAATGACTGGAACGCCTTACTGGAACAAGTGATATGAACCTGATCAATGAACATTTTCAAGGAAAAACCGAACCCTCACTGCGAAACGAACTGTAAGAATCAACACAGTTTCACCACCCT